TTGGGTCAATGCCACCTCTACCTCCTAGGTCCAAGCGATTCTTGTGCCTCGGCCTCCCAACTAGTGGGGATTACAGGTGCCCACCACCATGCCTGGCTAATTTTTTTTTTAGTAGAAACAAGGTCCATATTGGCAAGGCTGGTTTCGAACTCCAGATCTCAGGTGATCCACCCACCTCATCAGTCTCCCAAAGTGCTGGGGGAAACTTGATTTTCTATAGCATTATGTTACTGGATATTGCTGTAATATTTTAAATGAGGGGAAGAGGGAGAGAGAACTATTAGTTTGGATTCTGGATTTGGGTTATGAGACAAATTCTAGATAAATCTACAAAATCTAAAATTTACATGTTGTGTTTTTCCTAATAAAGTACAATTCTAAGATGGTAAATAACTGGAAAATCCTTCACTGAGAATTTAAATAATTTTAACTGCTTCGGGCTGAGTACAAGAAATACGAGCAAGGAAAATACTAGTGATTTTTTCGTCACAATTATTCTAATAATGCTAATAATACCTATGAGGTATTTTGCATACTACACATGTAGAAGAGTTTGAATCTCAGATAAAAACAAAATGCATGAAGTATTCAACATCAGCACAGATTCAATCATGTCGCGTGTGAGAGATTGGATCGGAGACGTGTTTTGAGTTGGTCATGGTGAAGGAGGCAAGGTAACGATTCTGGTCACAACAATTTCCAGGAAGCCATGTTCCTGTCTTGACCGGACACCCACTGGGCCCCATGCAAGGTGGAAAGAGCCTGCGTACGTCAGCATCCCATGATGTGGTCAGCATGTAAACTGCACGGGCGGGGCGCCAACATCCTGTGCGCTGCTGAAGGGAGCTGGGGCGCGGCCGCCGGTCTGCACAGGCAGCACCATGTCGCCCATGGTCGTCAGCATGGCGTGTGTCGGTGAGTCCTGGAGGGAATCCAGGGAGGGAGAGATGGGGTGGGGATATGGGCCTGGGGTGGGGATATGGGCCTGGGGTGGGGATATGGGCCTGGGGTGGAGATATGGGCCTGGGGTGGAGATCTGGGCCTGGGGTGGAGATACGGGCTTGGGGTGGAGATATGGGCCTGTAGGGGAGATATGAGCCTGGAGGGGAGATATGAACCTGGAGTGGGGATATGGGCCTGGGGTGGAGATCTGGGCCTGGGGTGGAGATATGGGTCTGGGGTGGGGATATAGGCCTGGGACGGAGATATGGGCCTGGGGTCTGGATATGGGCCTGGGGTGGGGATATGGGCCTAAAGGGGAGATATGAGCCTGGGGTGGAGATATGAGTCTGGGGTGGAGGTCTGGGCCTGGGGTGGAGTTCTGGGCCTGGGGTGGAGTTCTGGGCCTGGGGTGGAGATCTGGGCCTGAGGTGGAGATACGGGCCTGTAGGGGCGATATGAGCCTGGAGGGGTGATATGAACCTGGAGTGGGGATATGGGCCTGGGGTGGAGATATGGGCTCGGGGTCGGTATATGGGTCTGGGGTGGAGATATGAGTCTGGGGTGGAGATCTGGGCCTGGGGTGGGGATATGAGTCTGGGGTGGAGATATGAGTCTGGGGTGGAGATCTGGGCCTGGGGTGCGGATATGGGCCTGGGGTGCGGATATGGGCCTGGGGTGTGGATATGGGCCTGGGGCGGGGATATTGCCTCTAGTGTAGGTAAGAGCCTTGAGGTATAGACCTGGCCTTGGAGGCTGGGTCTCTGCACAGCCAAGAGCCCTGTTGTCTGGGGTCAGATGGTCAACGAGGCTGAGTTTACCTTCAACCTAAAAAGGGCCTGGCTCTCAAGGCACACAGCCCGTTCAGGGCAGCAGGGCAGGCCTGGTGTGTGTGCAGATGGATCATCCATCATGCTCTTTCTTTCCAGGGTTCTTCTTGGTCCAGAGGGCCTGGCCATATGATGGTGAGTCCTTCCCTTAGGGTGTCATCTCCCTACATAAGGGAGTTTCCTGAAACAGAAGAAAAATCCTGTGGGGGAGTCTCTCATAAACTTGAAAGATGGGACCCTGGGAAGCTCGGCCCACAGATCTGACCCAGCCCTTCCCAGCCTTTCCTTCCCTTGGCTGAGTCAAGCTCCGTGGGGACTGGGGTGAGACTGGGGTGCTCTAAGCTGGAGTGTGTGGGGAGGAAGTCGTGTCACCGGCAGAGGAAGGGAGGGAAGCAGTGCTAGGAAAGGCCGACCCTCTGAGGACAAAGGTGTAACTCACACCCTCCAGCGTTTCCATGACGGTAGGGGCTGCCGTGGGGCTGCTGTCATTCTACCAGAAGAGGTGGGGGAACCACAGCCATGAGCTTCACATTCTAAGTCCTCTGATGGGGGCTCCGTTGTTTATTATGGTTCACGCAGTGGCCGATACTCCATTCACAAAGGACGTGCCCTGCAGCCCATGTCTGCTTTGTGTTGTTTTATGTAGGTAATTTTGTAGTATTAAAATCTACTAAGAGTCCCTCATTCATCACTTGCTCAAATTTCTCAGCTGAGACGTTTGTTGTAGGGAGACACCATGTCTATGCGGGATGGGTCCTTCCTGTAGCCCTGGGCACCCAGGTGTGGCAGGAGCCTTAGGAACGTGGAAAGGGGGAGAATCCCCTGAGCACAGGGAGGGAGGGGCGGCTCCACATCTTGCTGTCTAAGGTGATGCCTCCTCCTCCCCCAGGTGGTCGGGACAAGCCCTTCCTGTCTGCCTG